GGGATGGGTGGGGCGCGGGGCGTTCTGGCCAGGACGCTGGCGCGCGTGGACCAGCGCTCGGCCCGGCCGTTGCGACACCGACGATGGCTACCGGGGGCGGCTGATGCCGCTCTGCCCTGTCGCCCTGGAGTGGCGGTCGCGAAGTGCGCCAAACACTCGATGGAGGCGGAGCGTGTCGATTGCCTGCTATTGTTTCGGTCCACACACGAAACGGGTGCAAGGACTCCGGTAGGCGCAGCCAGGCAAGCGTGCCCGTCCTCAGGTCATCGACAGGGATGCAGTGATGAAGACCCCCTCCTCGCCTCCCCCCTCTCTCCCCCCTGCTCTCAAGGGCGCCGGGTTTGCTCCGTCTGGCCGGAGCCTTTCCTCATGCCCCACCCCCTCTGCCCCGGCTTGTTCCTGTTGTGGAGGCCCTGCAGCAGTATCCTGCAAGAGCAGGATCCTGCGAGCCTCAGGGAGAGGCCCTGCTCTACGGCCAGCGTCCTCCACACGTCCTCGACCCCACCACGCCGGGCCACGCCGCGCCACACCACGCTGCACCACGCCGCGCCGCGCCGTGATGCAAGCCACGTGGAGGTGCGAATAGTTCACGATAACCTATCGTAGCTAAGCCAAGCGCCATGCACTCAGACGAACTTAGCGTGCGAGACGGCCTGGCTATCGTCACTTGCCACCACCGGCTCCCGACGGCCAACGCCGACTCGTCCCGTACCGGTGGTTAGGCCACCCACTCACCCGTGCGCTTGCATGCGCCACAATGTGCCGAATGCGAGAGCAGGTCGTGGACCTTTGTAGTAAACCGTACCGATCGCCTAGAAAGTACGAAGCACGTCCTTTGTCACGCATTCTTTCGCCCAATTACTGGAGGTTGACGCCTGCGGAACTCGAGGTAGGCCACCCCGCAATGCACGCATGCACTGCAGACAAGATGTTGCCTACCTATCAGGCGCTACGAGAGCTTGCATATGCTGGCTCGACTTGACATGTTCGCATAACTGCGATTGACGGACTTATTTTCTGAATGATTTCTTAAGGGGTGCTTGTGGTGCGGCGGATCGCTTTCGCGTAGTGTGCCAAAGCCTGTGGCGACGACAAAGACCCCCCTGAAGGTGACGTTCTGACCCGCACCCCGCCCGGGCTGGCGCTCGTCATTGTTATCTCGTATCTTTGAATGTTAATGCCCCTGCAAGAAGTGCGCGTCGAAGCAGCAGTCGGGCAAATGGGCGTGTGAATCGGCGACGCGCGACGCCATCCAAGCGTGTTTGACGGTCGAAAAACAAAGCAGTTCAAGTTCGATCCTACAATGCAGTGGCGTGTGTCTCTTTTTCCTCCACTTTTAATTACCTGGCTGACTTTGGGGATGTCATGGACCCCATCTCGTCACAGAAAGATTACTCGGGAGGATAGAAAACCGTTCTGGAACAAGTTGGTCGGGAACAAAGGCTACTTAGAAAACGAAGCGTTGCCCTCGCTCACGCTCGCATCAAGGGCTCGGATCTGGAGCCACCGCAGGCGGCGAGGCCGGGCGGGTGGGGTCCCGGGCGTCCCTCCTAACGAAAGTCAGTGTCACCGCGCACCGCGCAAGCCTGTTCCCATGGGAGAGTCGCGGGAGGGAGGGTCCTGCGACGGGCCTGGGCGGGCGGGCGGCGAGGGACAAAAGAAGCCGTGTCGGTCGCGCGGCGGGCAGGGCGCGGAGTTTGGGTGTCACTCGCGCCGAAAATGATTGTCCCGCGGGTGGACCCACGGGCGGCGTGTGTCGTGCCGGCCGGGCCAGGGCAGGCGAGGTCCGGACCGGGGCCGCGGCGACAATGGCCTCCCCCGCGACAATATGACCAGCGCACCCAGCGGGTCTAGTGAGGCGAAGGGGCGCAATGGCGGCGGCCGCCGAGGGGGGCCGGCTCCCACTCATGTCTCTGGAAAAAATCTAAATTACCCATTCAGGACACCAAAATTGAAACGAAAAAGTAACAAATAAAAAAAAGCAAATTACCCGTTCAAAGAAAAAATAATACAACATGGAAAAAGAGACAAGTCGGCTAACCACGGCGTCGGCCGCGGCGAACGGGGTGGTGAACGCCGAGGGGCTCCCCGTCGGCGAGTCCCCGTCGGCCGTCTCCGGACGCAAGAACAGCGCGCGCCGGCCCCCCTCCATCGTCATCAACCCCAGCGTCCAGGTGGGTCCGCGCCGCGTCCGCGCGCCGGCAGGGCAGGCTCCCCTGGCGCATGTCAGGCCGGCCGAGGCACAGATGTACTGCTATCAGTGGCATAAAATCAGCATCACGGCCTTGGGGAGCGCGTGCAAGCCGCTCCGCGTGCGAGCCCGTGGCGCAACCGCGCCTGCCTAACGCCTCCTGACCAGTGAGCGCGCCCAGGCACACACGTGTGTGTGCGCGTTTGTGTGTTTGTGAATGCTCATTTTATTTTTCATGTGTTATTTTCTGTACACACGCCTCTCGTTTTATATTTTTATCTCTCACCTGCGGAGGGAAAATACTAAGAAGCGCGCCACCCCGCGAGACAGGTGCGAAAGCCCCTCTCGGGGTGGCCGTTGTTGTGGTGTTGGTGGTGCTTGGCGAAGAAGAGAGGACGCAGTTCGGCGTGGTGGGCACTGGCCACGCTCAGCAGGCTCAAGACCAGGACCGTCCCCGTGCTGCAGGTACTGTCGCGGCAGGCGTCTGGCGCCCCGGTCAGCCGCAGCCCGAGCGCCCAGCCTCCGAGCCAGCGGAGGAGCAGGGTAAGCGTCCGCGCCGAGTACCAGAAGGAGAGGAAAATTATTGTTCTCCTACCCGATTTCGTTATCCATGTAATTTTCTCGTCGACTTTTGCAGTCGGTGTGCCACGTCCACCCGAGCTCATGCCGCTGCGAGAAGTGCCCGTGCCCGGAGCTGACGGGGGCCGGGGGCGGCGCGGCGGCGGGGCTGCGCCGGGGGCCGTCCGGGTTCAGCTTTGGCGGTGGCGGGCAGCACTGGGCGTCGGCGGCGATGGACCGTGGGCAGGCGGGGGCGGACGTGAGTACAGTAGGGCACAGAGGGGCGGAAAGAGGGGAGGGGGGGCACCGCTGCTCCTGTGCGGGCAAATGACAGGAGCTCGGGTGTTAGTTAGTCCAAGCGTGTGTCGGCCACAAAAATGGTCCCCGTCGCGGTACATACCAGTCTAGTGGCCTTGAAGAGGGACGCACCGCCGGGCTGGCCTGGCGTGGCCACGTCCCCGGCGAAAAGCCAAAGAAAAATGCGATTCCACTCTTATGGCGGCGCGCTTCCTCGACGCTCTGGCATCTGTCCCATCCGCCTGCCCGTCTCGTCTGCCCGAGTGAGATAAAGATCCCGCCTGACGACAACGTCGCCGTGCTCCCCAGTGCGGGTACTGCGGCCGCCTGTACCTGGGCCGGCCGCCGCCCTTCCGCCGCCGGCAGCCGCCGCCGCTGGTCATGACGCGCGTGCCGCGCTCGGCCGGCCGCTACCCGACGCGCGGTGAGCTGCTCACCGGGCTCACGCCCACCATCTGCTGGGCCAACTGCGAGAAGGGGCTGCCGCTGCCCCCGGGCTGCCCGCGGAACATGCGTGAGTAGCGCGGGCTGCGCGACCCGGGCAGCTGACGCTGATTAGTAGACCTGACCCCGCTCTGTCGTCCCCGTGCCAGTGCACTCGCTGCGCGCGCCGCCCGAGCTCTTCGAGGAGCTCGAGCCACAGCCGGTGGGGCCGTACGTTCGTGTGCTGGCGCCGCGCTGGCTGGACTGGGTCGACGATCAGACGTGCGCCTTCCCGCCGCCGGACGGGGAGCGCGGCGAGAACCTCCAGTGCGCGACCTGCGCCCAGCCCAAGGAGGAGCCCGCCGAGGCCGGCAAGGGCAAGAAGAAGCGGCGCGGGGAGGCCGAGGCCGAGGCGGAGCAGGGGCCGCCGCCGGAGCTGCCCGCGGCCCCGGGCGCCCCGGACGCGTCCCCGAGCAAGGCGGTGCTGGTCGGCAGCAAGGCCACCCTCGGCAGGGCCAGCCGCGGGGGGTTGTCGGCCAGGCCCTCCGGCGCGCCCGTGTCCGTCAAGCTCTCCGGGGCGCCCGTGTCCGTCTCCGCCAAGCCTTCGGCCGCCATGTCTGCGCGGGGCTCCGCGGCCGGGGCACCCGCCTCGGCCCGACCGTCCATCAGGTCCGCGAGCTCCCGCGGGCAGGCGCCCCCGCCTGAGCCGGGCCTGGGCGACAGCTCCACAGCGGTGCGCAAGCCGTCCGGGTCCCTGGCGCTCCGCCAGGACTCGGCCATGCCGCTGCCGGGGGTGACCAGCAGGAGCGCCGTGTCGGTGAAGCCGCCTCTGGACGGCATCCGCGAGAGCGCCACCTCCACCCCGGTGGCCGAGCTGCCGCCACCGCCGCCACCAGAAGAACAAGAGGCCGTCGAGGAGGTGCCTGAGGATGCGGTCGAGGAGGCGCCTCCAGAACCGGTCGAGGAAGCGGCCCCGGAACCCGTCGAGGAGGCGGCGCCCCCGGAGCCCGTCGAGGAGTCGGTGGCCGGCGAGGAGGGCGCGGTGCCGCCCGAGGAGTAGGACCACCTGTACGGCCTGTCCAGTAAATGCCACCCTACACGTCGCACTGGTGCACCTCCAGCCGGCGGCGGCAGAGACTAATTGAATTTCGCGCGAGAACAAAGGTCCCGGCGTGCCGAACAGAACGGCCCCGCGTCGGAATACATAATCAGGCTGCTGCGCGCTGCGCGCTTGACTCATCTGGGCATGTCGAGAGGAGTAGGCAACTCCAGCGCCGCTCGTGCTGCCGCTGCGTTGTGTTGAAAGAGACGCCGCCCCGCGCCCCGCCCGCCGCGCTTCGGCCCTCTCCCTCACCTACAGGCGATATGATAAAAGCCTGGGGTCACCCGAGGCATGCGAGGTGCGCTGCTGCGGCGGCGGCGGCGCGTTGCATTCGGTTTCCCAACGGCGAACGGCTGGACTTGTCCACGTCGCCGTGATCCGCCCGGCCCGGCGGTGACCCGCGGCGCCGAAGGGGTCAGCAGCGGCGGCGGGGCGGGCGGCCGCGCGGCGACGTCTTCCGTCTCCGTCGCACCCGCAGGAGAGCCGGCCGGCCGAGGGGACGGGGACGGCGAGACACACTGGACTTTGACTCACGACCCGAACCGCCTCACGGAAAGGTCGCCCTAACGTCAGGACCGGGACGCGTCCGGAGCGGAGCCCGCAGTGACCGCAGCGCCGGCCCCGCGCGCCGCGTGGGAGCGAGGGAGACGGGCATAGGGCGCGCGCTGGACCAGGGGCGGGGGGCAGTGCGGGGGGAGGGCGGCCGAGCCAGGCGGGGTCGATCGGCCGGTCAGGTGGCGTGATGTCCAGGACGTCGCGGCAAGCACCTCAAAGTATGGGGTCTCTGCAACAAGGACCGGCCGGCCCGACCGCCGCCAGGACCGGCTCCGTGCATGTGTGTGTGCGCGCCTGTGCGTTGTGTAGTACAAGTTGTGTGTGTGTGTGTGAGTGTGTGCGATCGAGGCGGCACCGCACATTACGCAGGGCCAACAAGGCGTGTCCATTACTCGCGCATTACGTACGTCACGAGCGTGCTTATGCAGGAGCTTCGTCGGCCGTGCGTGCGAGGTGCGTGCGCCGTGCATGCGCGGCCCTTGTCGACCCGGAAGGTCCCGCTCGCGGGTAGCCCATTCGGACGGCGGGTTATACCGCCGCGCCAAACCGCGTGGAAGCGTATAATTGTGGGTCATCTGGTCTCTTGCGCCGGGACGCGCGGCGGTGGTGGCAGTGGGGAGGAGGACGCCGTCGCGGCGGAGAAGCAGAAGCTGGTCAACCTCGAACTCACTCATTCTCTATCCTCTTCCCTTCATCATCGAGTCGGCGCTCGTCCAGGAAGCACGTCCGTTTCCGGCAAGATCCATTCGGCGCATTGAGGGAGCTCGATGCCGCCTGCGAGACTCGGGGTAGGCCACCCCGCAGCGCACGCATGCACAGCAGGCCCGATGTTGCCTACCCATCAGGCGCTATGAGAGCCATGCATCGGCTAAACTCGGTAGTTTCGTTGCGGCAAACGGCGAGGTCACTTTCTGGATGACCCCTCTGCCGAAGGTTCTTTAACACAGGTCAATGGAGGAAAGAGCGCATGTTGTTACCGAGCTGAAGGAGCTGCAGAGGCCGGACAGAGGCGGGGCGGGGCGGGGCGAGGCTATGGGTGAGGGTCAGCCGAGCTGACATCTCATCCGCACGAAAGGGGCAAAGGGAATTGCCTAATGGGATCCGTTGCAATTAGCGAGTCGGCTGGCTGGCCGGCGGGCTGGCGGGCGTTCCGGCGCTCCCGCACACCTCGCCCCACCTCCTCGCCCCACAGAGAAAGGGCGTGGCGTGCGGCCAGGACGGAGGTCGGCCGTGATTGGTCGAGCCCGAGAGCGGAGAACACAGAGATAGCACCTGTGGCGTCGCGTGGTCGGGATGCAAGGGCGTGTGTGTGCAGAGGAGCGAAAAGGGGGGGGGGGCGTGGAGGGAGTTGGGCGGAGGGGCTGCGAGCATATCGTCACCCCGCCGTCATGGAGCGTGGCGGGGTGGGGTGCGGACTGCTGGGTGGGCCGCTTGCCCCTGCGAATTGAGTGTTTGGGATAGCAAGAGGTTGGGGTGACAACCGCCCGGTCCCGGTCGTAATAACTAACGCCATCGAGAGAGACCCGCACCGCCCAGCCCAGCCCGCCCGCAGTGCACGCGCACTCGGCGCGGCCGTTGTGTACAGCTTTACGACCGACTTTGGGCAATTCATTACCATGGGCACCACACCTACGCGGCGCGCGCGAGCGGTGGGAGAGTTGGAGTCACT